AGCAGGAAGGGGGAGGGCACACAAGGCCTCCTCCTAGGGCTTAAATTCAGGTCACATCTTGGCCTGAGAAAACAGGAACGGCAAAGAAGTGTGAGGAAACTGAAGCAAAGTGGGATTAATAACGTTAGTAATCGTGAACTGTTAATAAAATACAAGAACTGGAAGGCAAGGAATTGGAACATATTTAACTTAAAATGGAAGGGTGCTTGGCAAGGAATTGGAACATATTTAACTTAAAAAAACCCTTTTCTTAGCAAGAGAAAATGGAGCAGTAGATTTAAGTCAGACTATGCATAACTGGTTCCAAAAATGCCATTTTTCCTATCTGATACCTAGCACTAACTTCATTGGGACTGGACCGCAGCAGTTTCTTCGGACTGCACCGTAAACGTTTAAGTATTTTCCTTCAAGATATGGCCAAGGTTCATAGACCTGCTTTTGCAGTTGCAAAAATCAGGTAGGCATCCTTTGCTTGATGCATGAATTTCAACAAAACAAGTCTCATATTTATAACGTTCAAACATGCAATGGAATTTATAAATGGTCCAACACTGTTCACAGAACTATTTTGAAACAGATGTTCTATTAACGATTGAGCCTTACAAGGGTGAGCCAAGAAACAATGTGAAGGGTACCCAACTGTATCAAAATGAGTAAGAGGAAAACACCATGCAAAAGTTCATGCAAAAGGCACCAGTGAACACAGATGAAAACCAGGGACTACTCGGTGATAACAGAGACCTGGTTAAAGCTGGAGACAGACCTCAGTGACACAGAGACTGCTTACCATCAGGTTTACTGGTAGTACCATCTTTAAGCAAATTAAAAAAAAATAAGGAGAGGGATAATAGGGAACAGTTAGTAGTATCAGCAGAAGTGGGCGAGGTGAATTTAGCTATAGAAACAAACAAACAAAAATCAGCTGAACTGAGGAAGTAAGAGTTAGTTAAAGAAAAATGCTATTTCTGAACACCCAGAGCTAAATAATTATAAAACATATGTGGCAATTGTCCAAGACACCCTACCCTTACCCTTTAGAAGAGAAGAAGAGATTGGATTTATACCCTGCCCTTCACTACCCAAAGGTGTCTCAGAGCAACTCCTTTCCTTCCCCTCCCCACAACAGACACCCTGTGAGGCACGTGGGGCTGAGAGACCTCTTGACAGAAACTGCTCTTTTTCAAGGACAGCTCTTATCAGAGCTACGGCTTGCCCAAGGTCATCCAGCCAGGTGCGAGTGGAGGAGTGGGGAATCAAACCTGGTTCTCCCAGATTAGAGTCCGCGCAGTTAACCAACACACCAAACTGGCTTTAGATAGTTATGTCATCTTGTGGCCTCGACTCAACTTCCTTTCTTAGTATAACCACATTGCTCCTTGCAGTAAAGACTATGGAAACAATAGCACCACCTGCTGACGCGTCAAGAAAGAAGAACGTACGGCAATGAATGCGTTATAAGGTGTTTGATCAACTCCAACACATTTTGCATGAAGTGTCTATGGCTCTGGAGGAGATGTAAATGACTATTAAATTAGCTGCTTGTGCATCAATGCAGAGGTGAAGAAGAAGGGGCCAAGCTGGAGTAAATATTCCACCATTCTGCAGGGGATGTAGAACCCCTCACACTGCCTAATCACAGAGTCATCCTCATGGTGCAAATGTGCAGAGGAAGTGCCTGCATGCACTGCATGCATACCTCTCCATGTTACAGAAATGTTAGGAAAGCAGCGTCACAGATCATGGGGAGGGGGCATACACACAGACACTTCCTCTGTGACTCTGTACCGTGCAGACAACTCTACGACTGTGTAGAGGTGGGGCCAGCGTGTTTGTGCCCGCACTCTCTCTCTCTCCACTTGCTGAGCGTCAACATGCAAACAGGCCTCCATCCTCCTCCGTTGACCCTTCCATCATATCTAAGCCATCTTACCACCCCCTCTCACAGATCTGCTTTTGCTCTTGCAAGATTAAATGCTGTGCCATCTGCAGAATTAACGGGACGTTTCTCACGAACTCCGTATTCAGACAGGCTTTGTACATGCGCTTCTGGCGAGACTGAGACGCTGACGCATCTCCTTTTGTTTTGTTCTCATTGGTTAGCTCTTAGGTCATATTGGGTATATCCAATTTTATCTCAACACCATCTTCCACTGGAGCCATGGGTGGTCTCTTAGCTGCTGACAGATACTGACCCGACAATCTGACTCGACAATCACCACTTCAGTAGCAAAATACTTAGCTATTATAATAGCATTGAAGCGTAAATAACTGCTGCTAAGAGGAGGTGTGCACTTTTTGGTTCTAATTGTTTTTTCAATTTTTTCAATTTTATGACTGAAATGTCTTATAGTTTTATATTTTAAACCTTTATACAGTTTATATTTTAATGGGATTTGAAATGTTAACAGTTTTAAACTCTTATATTGATATTTTACATGTTTGTTGTATTCTGTGCTTGAGACCACTGGTCATGTGAGCTAAATAGATTGATTGATTGGGTGACAGGCCGTCCACACAGGGCTAATATCTTTACTGTCACCCCCCACCCCAAGCCCAGTGATTTCTGTAATTCTTCCTCTCAAAATTGTGCAGAATTGGACAGCTGCTGCAGATATTTCACACTGCTGAAAAATGGGCTAGCAGATACCAATGCCAAGTAGCGGGGTATGACAGTGCTGCACACTTGCACCCCATGTACCGACTACATGATCTTCACGTGGTTATTTTCACCACACTACTAATCCACCAATCCTTACCGAAAAGTAACAATAACTCTATGATAAGTCAGTCTGGTTTTATAGCTAGAATGGTACTAGTACCCACATTCCCATTTATCTCTCTTCTGAATTCTTGTGATAATCCAAAGGTATAAGTGACAGAGCAAATCGAGAGGGGATTTATTTTACCAGACTGAACAACAACAACAATTCCCACTGGTAAGTTACATATTTATAAAGAATCCAAACACCTATATATTGAAAGTAACATAATATTTCCGACTTTGTACCTAACTATATTTTGTCACAGAACCTTTGTTCATCAGTTTTCACAATCTGGGACTGTTTGGAGCAGAAGCCTCGCTGGGGAGAAAAGCCCACCTTTCCCCGCTAAAGCCATCCACCAAAATTGCTCTGATACCTTAGAAACCTAAAAAGCTTATGTAGGAAAAGCAGTTGCCGATAGATTATTTATTCCATGGAACACAGGCTATCATCTTTGAGGAAGGCATCCCCTAAACAACACATGTATAAAAATTACTCTGTAAATGCTAAATCACCATTGATATCCTTGACTGGAAGGACGTGAGATTTACCTAGTGATGCATAGGAGCCCGGAGGCAGGGCTGCAGCAGAGCTAAAGGGAGCATCTGATCCAGAAGATGTTACTTTAGATTTGGCACTGGCTGCTGCATTCACGTCGATGTCACTGCGGGAACGTTGCAGAGACCCTGAGGTTGACACTGATTTTGCACTCACAGTAGAGGCTGTGAGAAAGGAAAGAAAGGAGAGAGATTTGAGGTGAAACGGAGAATCCTGAAAACTGTCTTCGAAAGGTCTTTAACATTCCAGTCAGGGGAGCCAGGAGCAAAAGAGACACCTCCTTCTTCTATGCCCCCCCCAAAAAAAAATAATGGCTGGCCACAAAGGGCTCCCAAAATCCACTGACAAAATAGACAAAATAACATGTGCCAGGGCGGATTCATTTAGACTAAAAAAATTATTTCCAAAATATAAGAAGACCAAACTTCAAAACGGATGGATCTTGAAATTAAATTTGAAAAAAAACACAAACACAAGTGTTTATAACTTTTGATTTATTTATATTGTAAACCACCTTTAAGTGCCACAAGGTAGAAAGGCCGCTAATAAACATTTTTAATATTTATTTTTACAGTAACTGGAGGACTGAGTTCTAGCATCACCAGCATCGCTGAGCAAGCTTGATACTTGTTTAATATATTGTTTAATATATCTAATATATTGTTTAATATATTTGTTTGATATATTCTTGTTTGATCTATTTTATTAAAAACTGAAACTATATTTTTAGCTGATTCTTCACCTAAAAGCAGCACCTAATCTTAAGATTTCCTTTTAGTGGCTGCTCATACACATTCTTTCCACTCCCTTCCTACTTAGCCAAATAAAGGTTTCCTTTTCCTCTTCAAGAATACATAAGAGACTGTGGTGCTTCCAAGGCCTGAGGAGCTGCTGGTTTACCAGTGCTGTGACTGCCATTCTGTATATAAGCACACCGAGGGAGTACCACCAATATAACTAGGGAAAGGCACAAACCAAACCACAAAGAATAATTTGTCACGAAGTCTACCGTCACAAACTTCCATGAACTTTTAAAGCACTTAATGGCGCTCCATGGATAGAACAGAAAGCAGGGGGCTAAAGGGACTCTGAGTCCCTTTAAACCCCTGCTTTCTGTTCCCCACGAAAGCTGCAAAAACAGTTGAGTGGTGAGCAGCCTGTCCTCCAAAATACAGCTGAGCAGTGGGGAGCAGCTTGGTCCCCGCTGCTCAGCTATTTTTTGGGCTTTCTGCAAACATCATTGAAAGGGTCCCTTTCAACAGGGTATGTGGGTCCACAAACCATGAACCAGTTCAGTTTGTGAACGAACCTCCCAGTTCAATCTGGCCACAAATGAACATGAACTACACTTTTCCAGTTTGTGCCCATCCATACACATAATGCTGTTACATAGGCCACATGCATGATACGAGAAACAATTAAATACTTTAGTTGGCTTGAGCTACTGTTTTAGAGACATGAGGGATCCAGTATTCTTTTCCCCTCTTCCCTGAGCCATTAAAATGCAGGATCTCCTACCTCCAGTCAACCTTTTATTTTGATCTAACTCACACTGCTGCTCTGATGTAGCTTCTCTGAGAAGAAAAGTTACAGGGTTTGTTAATGCTATCTACTTTTATATTGCTGCTACAGCTTATTATCACTATCACTTGCAAAGCTATTATGTCTGCCATTCATTTTTTTTACGCCTGCAATTCATCAGAACAAAACATGGTCTGAACTAAAGCACAAGTAACTGGATTGCGCAGTAGCCCAGACTAAAGTGTGCTAAAAATTAATAGTCTACACACTGAAAGTCTCCAGTAATTCCATCTGGAGATTTCCCATTTGCTCATCTGCAAATCTGAATGAAACATCTGCATACTAAGATAGCTAAACAAAACCGATTTATGATGCACAGGCCACATAATCCTTGGACAAATGCCTTGCCACTATACATGTTTCATTAGGTTAAAGTTGCAGGTTGCTGTTGTTATATAACCTTTAATTTTGGTGTTAACCAGGGCTATTTTTGGGCAGGAACGCACAGGAACGGAGTTCCGGCTGGCTCCCAAGTTGGCCACACCCAGCAGGAACTCATTAGCATAATAGGCCACACCCAGCAGCAGAGACTCATTAGGATTGGCTACATTAGGGGTGTGTGGCCTAACATGCAAAGGAGTTCCTGCTACAAAAAAAGCCCTGGGTTTTGACAACAAACAAGGTAAACAGAATAAGAAGGGAAAGGTGGGTGTGGCTGGATAACCACACTTCTGGTAACATGGGGGTGTGGCCTAATATGCTAATGGATTTCTGCTATTGGGTGTGGCCTATTATGCTAATGAGTTCCTGCTGGGCTTTTTCTACAAAAAGAGCCCTGATGTTAACTATAAGTTTGATACCGCTATTGTTATGTTGTTATTGTTGTTTGTTAACAAAGTACTGTTTGGAAAGTTATGGGTTAAGCCATGTATAACTTCCTCTTTTTGCTGTTACTGTATCAATATTTTTATTGTATGTTGATATTCTGTAATAAAATAAAATATAATTTAAAAAAAGAGATAGAAAAGAATAAACCAGAATTGTATGTTCAAATATTTTAAAACATTATTTTCTTTAATATCCGTGTTGTAACTAACTGAAAATAAAAATATATATATATGGTATTCATTAGCTAATATTCTTATCTCGTTGTCATTTTGGCGCCTTACTGTTTGGCTTAGGATTCACAAAGGTGAGAGAGAAGGGGGAAAGAGACAGTGTGACCAACATGGAAACGTTTCTGTTTCCCCTCCCACACTCATTGTGCAGGCCAGGCCAGGCCGGTGCTCGTTCCAGGACTAGAACCACTGCCACTGACCCAAGCAGGGGCCGGCATGGGCTAAGAATCTCTTCACTCGTCCGCTGGCTCCCTAGGATAACATTTCCCATGTGCATTGGGATGCAGCCCCCTGGAGGCATCAGAGAGCGCATTCAAAACACACAGGGAAGGGATGGATAAAAATTTCAGCGGCCATTAATGAGTGGCTCTTGTACAAGTATATGTACCTGTACCAGCATGACTCATGTAATAGCTGAGGGATGGATAGGACAGTGCAAAATGGCACAAGAAGAAACAAATGGCTTTAAGAACAGAAGTGAGCGTTTTTAAAAATGAAAACCAATTGTAAAAGTGTGGGGGGAATTGTATGCCCCTAGATAGAACAAAGAACACAACTTCTAGAAGTCTCTGCAGCAGGACATTGTTTTTATTTGTATCAGAGATCTGCATAAAGTTATTGACTTTATCCAGAGTACTAGAGAATCTGCTGCTATCCCCCCCACATTTTTGTCGAATGACATTTACAGAATATGGAATCTAAAAGAGACTTACAAATATAAATAAAAGCAGTAATGGTTGTCACAACTAATCACATTTTAGTAGGGATGGGAACGAACCAGTTCACAAGCCAAGATTCGGTAAAAACTTGGCCAGGTTCGGAGCCCCCGAAAATGTCATGGACTTTTGTCTGATTTGGTCTGGCTGTTCGGGCCATTTAAACCTAACAGCTGAATGGCGCGGGTCTGCAGTTCGCCTGTTAGGTTTAAATGGGTGGCAACCATTTCAGCGCTCCATTTCACGTCCTCCCACTTCAAAGCGGAGGAAGCAGAATGGAGAGCTGAAATGGCTGCCAGCCATTTAAACCTAACAGGGGGTGGGTCCGCCCATCAGCTGTTAGGTTTAAATGGCTGTGCACCATTAAACCTGTCCGTTTTGCTTCCTCCTGCTTTGAAGCGAGGGGAAAGGAAATGGGAGCGCTGAAGTGGCTGCCACTGGGTCCACCCGTCAGCTGTTAGGTTTAAATGGCTGTTCCATTCCTCCCCACCCTCTGAAGTGGGGGGAGCAAAAACCCTTTCCGGGTAATTCCCCCCCCCCCTTTCTCCTGGCTGCAGTTTGCCATGGCTGAAAGAAAGGCAGATCTGAATTGGCTGGTTCAGGAATTTTGCTCAGTTTCGGAGTTGCACCAAACCGGAATTTTTCGGTTTGTACCCATCCCTACATTTTTGTGGTTTACTCAGGTGCATGTGAGTTCGCTTTAGAAAACAGCTGCCTCTTACAATACAAAAGGCCACACTGAGTGCCTAATAAACATTTTTGTTGCTAAAGTAGCATAAAGTTAACCATTATTTCCCTTAAGGGGAGATATCACTATAACAGGAATCACGACAATGACATTTGGAAAAGTTAAAATCTTTTGCCAAGTTGTACTTGAGTATTTCACACATGTAGATTTCTTTAGTCCAGCTAACCCTTTCTTACCGCGTGATGTAGTACTTCCAGTTGGACTTCTTTTGGCAGACAGTGGACGGCTAGGACAGTATAAAAAGGCACAATTTAATAACAGATTTTGTTTGGATCAGTAAATTACGGTAGCTGCAAAAGATGTGTCATAGTTTAGGGGCTTCCCTTTTTTCATTTATAACAGGTCATACAGCCTATCTGTTCCAAAGATTTCCGAAAATTAGGAATACTGAAGGTCAATATTTCCCCACCATGACCTCAATGAGATTTGGACACATCAGTCCATTATATTAGTATAAAATGTGTTCCACAGTTTATGTCAAACCTTTGCCTTTAAGATTAGTTTCAACTTTTACAGAAAATCAGAATAGAGACTGAGGTTTGTGGACACACACATACATGCATGTGAGTTTAGAAAATGCTTTTCCTATGCCCCTTAAGAAAAAAAATTCTTTTTGAATCAGATAATTCAATGAACGAAAAGGGTAGATTGACAATCTACTGCATAAAGTCTACACATTCTATGATCCATGTGGTTAAATCCTCACATTAGGATGTGAAATAGCTGTCATCGATGACATAACGTGGTACAATAGCCTTGCGTTTTAAAGACAAAAAGGAGGCAACCTGATGAAACGTGAAAACTGCGTGGCAGCCATGTAACGGGTTGAATACTACTTTTCTTGCTGAGTGTTTGATTAGGATGGTAATTGCAAAACCAAGCTAAATCCTTCATTACATGCAAGGCAAGAACGTGAATTACCTTGAACCCATAAAGGCAACAAAAATAACTTCATAGGCAGGAGCAGCACCAATTCACAGACATCAAATGTATTCAAAAGCAAAGAGGTAGTGTACATAAGGGCTTACTTGAGACTCTCCTGGGAGCTAGAAGAGGAACGGTCTGATTGGGGCAGGGACACTGTGCTATCAGAGTTCTTCAAGTGAGATTGTAGAGCCTTCTGGTAAGAAGATTCCACTGAGTTATACAAATGTTCTGCTTCTCGACTGAAATGGTTGTGGAAGCCCCAGTAACACCTGAAAATAAAACATCAATAAAGTAGTGAACAATGTGTGTTAGTCCAGGGGCCCCCAACCTTTTCCACCCTGCGGGGACCTTTGGGATTCTGACGCAGAGTGGTGGGCTCCTGCACGAGGTGGAGCCAGCCACAAAACGGCCACTGCAGCTGACTTTCAGCCCTACAGGAAAGATCCTTGTAGTGTGGTGGCAGCTGCTGGCAAAGTACCCTATTTAGGAATCCAACAGAGCCAATCAAATCTGCAATGCTCAATCAGAAGCCTTGCTGGGCAAAAAGCCCTATCTGGTCCCACCCACTTTCCAAAAACACTTGGGCACCAGAAAAGGTGATGGCAGGCCCCGGGGCACCACATTGGGGACTCCTGTATTAGTCAATGTTATCAGTCACCTTAGGCACAAAGACTAATCCGCCAGTTCTGGCTAAGCAACAGTGAAATTCAGGATACGTGGACAAAATAAGAATACATTCAAATATCGACTTCATTTTGAATAAATTGTTTTTTTACTCCCGCAATTTTTCAGCAGAAAGAGGCTTGACAGAGAAAACTGGAGGAGGTTCTAACTCAGGGGTGTCACACATATGGGCCGGGGGCCAGAACCATCCCATCTAGGACTCTTATCCAGCCTGAGAGCAACTGGTGTGAGGGAGGGAAGGCAGGAGGGTGCTTGGGGGAGTGAGCAGGTACACCTGGTGAGATGTGTGTGGTTGAAGCTGTCAAGAAATAGAAAGGAAATTGCTAGGGAGCAGGACTATGAGGCTGAGGTAAATAGTGGGGGGGTGGCAGCAAAGATGGAGAAAGAGGTATGGTGTTTTTTTCCCCTCCTGCCTCCTTCATCTGTGGCTCAGATGGAAAGCCACTTACATTGCGGGGAAGCCACTTACATTGTGGGGTGGAGCTGAGCAGCCGGCACTGCCACCACCACACCAAATGGTGACCATGAGGGGGGGTTGGTAAGAGAAGGCACACGCGACAGTTTGCCAACAAAGGGACAGAGCCAGAGGCGGGGTGTGTGTGCGTGCATGGACTGGGAGGCAACTGGGCTGTCTTGTGCATGCCACTGTAGGGTTGCCACCAGCAGGGGGTGGGAGTTAGGGTTGCTAGTTTCAGGTTGGGGAACTCCTGGAGATTTGGGGGTGGAACTGGGGAGGACAAGGACCTCAGTGGGGTAAGATGCCATAGAGTCCACCCTCCAAAGCATCAATTTTCTCCAGGGGAACTTGTCTCTGTAGACTGGATGACCTGTAATTCCAAGGGATCCCCAGTTCCCACCTGGAGGCTGGGATCCCTGGCATGCAACTCTGAGGGGAAAGATGTCCCAACCTCAGAAGCAAATGAAAGAGCAAAGGCAAAATGGGGTGCCACCGATGCCACCACACATTTGAACAGCCATGGAGCTGGGAAGCAGAGTGAGTTTCGGGGGGGGGGGACGACAGTGACCTCCCTTCTCCCCCCACACCTGTTCTCAGTCCATGAAGGAAAAGTGGTTGCGGGAGGACAAAAAGCACCCCTTGGAGGTTTTGGAAACCACCTCTCCATCAAGCCTTCCCCTCAGCCCCACCGCTTCTGTGGGAGACATAGAAGAGATGAGAACTAGCGGTGGGGGGGTTTGGGAGAGCCAGGTTCAGACACACACACCCCTTCTTGAGCCAAGATCCTGTCATCTGGGTCACCCAGGACTGGTTGCTCAGCCTGGACTGCCTCACAGGTTGGGGGCAGTGGAGGTGCAAGTCCCTTGTGCCTCCTTGAGATCCTCAGAGGTAGGACAGGAGAAAAGAGGAAACGCAGAGCGAGACACGGATCATAGCCATGGTTGGCTGCTGAGGCTGGGCATGGGGGGTGGGGTTGCTAAAAACTACCTTATTTACCTGCAAAGAAGATGACTTCTCTCCTGAAGGTGCTATGTATAAAAAAGTAGCTGATTTGTATGGAAAGATTCCCCCCCCCTTTATGATACCTCTTGGGGGGAAATCTAATCTTGCATATGATTTATTGGTGCTTTTGTGGATTCCCCAGTAAATCAATTGCTTTCACTCCTATGAATCAATTGTTTTTGTTTGTATTTTGAGCAAATAATATTATTATTTCGGCAGTTGGCCCGCTATCTCGATCGTGACGATCTGGCCAGAGTGATCCACACGATGGTCACCTCGAGATTAGACTACTGCAATGCTCTCTACATGGGGCTGCCCTTGGCCCAAATCTGGAGGCTGCAGCTAGTGCAGAATGCTGCAGCCAGGCGCCTGAGGTGTATCCCTAGATGGGAACACATCCGGCCTGTGCTGAAGGCACTGCACTGGCTGCCAACAGCATACCGGATTTGCTTCAAGGTGCTGGTACTTACTTTTAAAGCCTTATATGGCCAGGGTCCAACATACCTGAGGGACCGCCTTTCCCCATGCATACTCCAAAGAGCACTACGGTCGG